TAAACATCCTACAGTGTACAGGATGGCCTCCTACAACAGAGAATGATCTGATTCCAAACATCAGTGATGCTGAGGCTGAGAATGAAATGCAGTGAAAATATTTACTGCACTGTCTCCAGAGAGTGCCAAGGGGTCAGAGAATATGTGCCACTTATGCAGCCAAACCTCTTGAGGACCCTGACTCACTCTGTCCTTCTCTATTGACCCATCATATGGATGGCAGCATTTCTCTTGCTCCAGTCTCAGTGGGATTCTTGACTTCCTTTCCTGCCTCATTTCTGAGCCTTTCTCCCTCTTTCCTCTAATCATTTTATTTTTGAGCGTAGGTTTTCTCAAACTTCAATATCCAAAGATTCCTTTTCTGAATTTTAAAATGCCTGTGTTCCATTAATTAAAATTTTTTTTTTGAAACAGTCTTGCTCTGCTGCCCAGGCTGGAGTGCAGTGGCGTGATCTTGGCTCATTGCAACCTCCGCCTTCTGGGTTCAAGTGATTTTCGTGTCTCAGCCTTCTGAGTAGCTAAGATTACAGGCATACTCCACCATACCCAGCTAATTTTTGTATTTTTTAGTAGAGACAGGGTTTCACCATATTGGCTAGGCTGGTCTCGAACTCCTGGCCTCAAGTAATCCACCCACCTCAGCCCCCACAAGGTGCTGGGATTAAAGATGTGGGCCACAGTGTCTGGCTTTATTTAATAATTTTATCATAGTCAACTCACTTCTTTCTTTGCAGTACTATTCAAGTCTTAAGTTTAGCAATACTGTTTTAAAAATTATGAGTTTTATGAACAATATAATATACATCCAGACATACATATTATATAAATACACTTTAAAATATTCAAATTGTTGTTTACATACTGGGAAAGTTATTCTGTTAAAATAAAAAGTTGACATGTGTTGATATGTGTACCATCACAAACCATCCTGTATGCCTCCAGTGGAATTCACTTTACACTTGCAGAAACATTAGGCTAAACTTTCACCTTCTTCTCTTCATCCCATTGTTAATAATTGCCATTTTCAGGAACCTCAGAGATGAGGGGCAGGAAAACTACAGGCAACTTTAGAAATGTCTAGAGTCCAGCAAGGGAAGCGGAAAGGGGATGTGAAGTTCATGTGCTAATTATTTTTGGACATTGTTATACTTCATTGAATCATCACAACTATTTGCTGCCAGGGAAGTAGGTGGAGCTCCCACCGTGCAGATGAGCCAATGAGACGCCCAGAGGTCAAGAGACTCGCCTAAGGATGCACACCCAGCACTGCCTGGCTCATCCTCCAAAGCCTCTTTTCCCTTGCTGCCACTACTGCTGCCCTGGATGTCCTTGCTTGTTGGCTTCTATCTACATCTCTGATGATTAAAAGAAAGTGGATTTAATGCATAAGTCCTTTAGGCTGTAGGGTTAGTGGCCATTCTCAGCTCTCTTCCCTGCTGGTAGTATAGGGTCAAGACGATTAAACTCTGTGATCCATAGATTCCTTATCTATAAGACAAGAGATAAAAGTGTCTGCCTTATGACAAGGATTAAATATGTTAATATACCTAAGTGCTTAGTACAGTATCAGCCACATAATAAACACCATATAATGTCTTCTGTTATTATTTTTATTGATTTGGCTCCTAAATAAGTGCTCTTAGAGATGAAAGGGTGAGTTCTCCAGTTGAAGGGCTTCTATCTTATTCTGCATTTTATCTGGTTCTTCTCAGTTTCTAGATTTGCACTGGTTTTTGAATGATCCAACATTAATTTAAGATAGCTGACATCCTGACATGAAAGGATGACAGGAAGGGGTGATAGGGCAGACATGTAAGCTCCTGGGGTGTTGATTTTTGTTATTCTCTAAGGATAATAATCAGCATTGTTGGTTTTGGTGGTTTTCTGAGTTTGGTGTACATCATACACCATGTATACCAAATTCAGAAAATCACCTGTGGAGTCAAAAATTTTCAGGTATCTGGAGATTACCTCTGATCTATTGGATCATGAGGTTCAGGGAACAGCTTGTTTTTCTCAAACTTCACATCGTGCTGACAGTCACCAAAATTTCAGAATGTCTGGTGTGCTGTATTCTCTTTGGTTAGACTTGAGATCATATATAATTGGATTAGTAAAGTCACATATTTTTATTGACTATTTTCATCTCCTAAGCACTACTTTCTGGTGAGAGAGTTTGATGAGAATCAGTCAAATAAATTTAAAAAGAAAACATAAAAATGGCAATAAGATTTGTGCTAAAACAATGATGGTGTGAGTGACTGAGGTCTTCCTTTAGAGAAAGTAGTCAGGGAAAGAAGGCATCTCTGAGGATCTGGGCTGGGAGCTGATTAGAAGGAGCCTGTCCCAGGAAGATCTGGGGTAGAGACTTGAGGCAGGGAATACAGTGGCTGCAAAGGCCCTGGGGCAGAGATGAGAAGATGGCAAATGCGAGTCTAGTTTGGGGGTGGGGAAGTGGTACAGCTTAACAGGAGGCTGGAGAGTTACCGGAAGAGATCAGATCACTAAAGCTTAGTAGGGCTGGTTAAGGAACCGGGCTTTTATTTAAAATGTTATGGGGTACACTGAAGAGTTTTGAGCAGAAGTACAATGTAATCTGATTTATATTTTTAAATAATTGCACTGGCTGCTATGTGGAGAATGGATTTTTAGTGGAGGTGAGGGTAGGTAAAAATTGTTTTCAGCCAGAGAGGCTAGAGTATGTTTTAGCACCCAGCCCTATAGAAAGACTTCAAAATTAAGTTCAACAGTTCATCTTAAATAAGGACAACAGGCAATGAGTTCTCAGGACTCAGAGAATCAAGCATGGCAGGGATTCTGCCTTGGGATGGGGGTGAGAAGTGAAAAATGAATTAACAAATAAATTAAAATCATAGTACACTTTTACTCCCAACAATTAAGCATTTTCAAGCATGACTTTCCTACTGCTTAAAACGTCCAATGAGTTCCCACTTGAGAATCTGAGAAAGCGATTATGGAGGAGACAGTGGCATCCAACGTTCAGGGTTGTTCACTAGAGAAATGGATACCTCTGTAACTTTCCTCTTTGATGCACTCCCCAGGGCTACTCATGGACTTTGGAAAATTTATAGCAAATTAAATAATTGATTGTATCTTTTGATTGTTATGGGATCTCTCTGGAAACTCTGCTGGGAACATCTGGACCTGTGAATGGTAGAAATATGCATCAAATTCTCTATTCATGGTAACACATGGTGCCTGAGTCACTGGGTCCCAGCACAAAGGTCCCTGTGTCTTCATGAAAGGTGCTAGGACGCTGGGTTGGATTTGGGGGTGGGGGCTGGCCAGGCTGAGTTCAAGTCTTCCTATCTTTACTTACTGACTGAGTTCCTATAGACAAGCTCCTTCACCTCTCTGAGTGTCACATGCCTCATCTGTCAAATCAGGATAACCATGGTATATACCTTGCAGGGTTTTCACAAGCAGCAAATGCCTGTGAAGTGTTTAGCATAGTCCCTGGCGTGGGGTCAGCATTCTATGCAGAAGAGTACTTTTACTAAGCATGATTCTCATTTGAAAATCCTCTCTGCCCTTGCCCTTTAAGATGGGGGTCCCCCGACCAGCAGTCACATCCCCTAGGAGCTTGTCAGTGTTAGAAATGCAGATTCTTAGTCCCCACCTTGGACCTGCTGAGTCAGATTCTGCACTTGCACAAGATCCCAGATGATGCTCGTGAGCCTTGCAGTCTAGAAGCGCCCTGCAAACTAAAATACATAGGTAGGAGAGGGGGATCCGTGTTGATGAAGAAAACAAAGCACAAGAGCCCCAGGGTGCAGAATATGCCATGACCCTAACCAGCCGGGCATCCTGGACAAACACGTCACTCCTCCAAGACTAAATTTCTTCTTTTGTAAAATGACTTACCTATTTTAGAGGTTTGCTAATAGGATAAAATGAAATAATGTGAAAACTGATATACGAGTAAAAAGTAAGTTATTTTTATCTTGTTTACATAGAAAAAAAGACATCATAATCCCTATAATTATTCCACTGTAATTATGCCACTTTCCAATCATTAGATTCCGCATTCTCACATTTACCCACTGAGTGGCCATGGACAAGTCCTGTAATTTAGTGTCTTGGTGAAAATAATGGGGAATGACAGTGGACTGGGAACTACAAGCCTGGTATTTTTGGAAACTAAATGGCAGAGTTTTGTAGTTTGGCTAAAAGACATTGCCCTAGAAAAGACTAGCAGTGTGATCCATGGAACTGTTTATGCCACTTACAAAGTCATCACTGAATTGCAGTGTGACATATGACGGCCATGTGCAGGAGTCACCAGAATGATTCCAGGTGGCGAATTTCAGTGTAACACACATTGAGAAGCCACAAAAGCTTTTTATTCTTTCCAAACATAATCAAAGCAAGAAAGGGATAATTTTGCTTATATTAACAGTAAAGCTTCATGTACAAAACCCCCCAATCTATTCTAACACAAGATAAGCACACAACTGCACCCCAAGACACAGCTTAATATAACAATTTATGACACGGGGAGCTACGGGGACAGCCAGAATTCACAAACTGAAGTTATCTAGGGCAGAAAAGGATGTGACAGCATTTAGTGCTAGTCAGCCAATCTCACCCTGTGCTCCCAGGAATGAATTCCTGTACTTGACAAGGTATAGATGCTGATAACAGGGTCACCCAACTTGAACACATGCCAAGCAAAAGGAGAAAAGGGCCAAAAAGACTTTTTCATAGATAGTGTTGAAGAAGTCCTGTGATAGAGATGCAATTACTATAAGCAAAAACAAGGGTTCCCAAGAAAGCCACACAGTGGTTCTACAGTTTCTCAAACTATCTTAAGCTACAGTAAAGCAATTTCTTGTGAGATGTGTATGTACATATACATGCATGTACCCCCCAACTCATGATTTCCTTTCTTGTTTTAAAGGCAGAAAATATAGAAAAAAGAAGTTATTTTAAAAAGAGTAATTTATACCTTAAAATAGCAAGGTATCAACATACAAGTACACAGGTATATTCTGATTGTCCAAAGCACTTTCTTTTGTTAGTGTTTTGAAGGTTGTCTTAGACTTAATCCATAAAAACAAAACAGCAATAACAAACACCAACACAACAACAGAAAAATAGAAGTGAGCTACATCCTCATGCTACCTTTGGGGGTGGGAGCAGATGAAGGGATGTGTGGGTAAGAAAAGTGGAAAATGGCATAGCATTACTCCTTTCTGAAAGAGACAATTGTCTCACTGTAAATAGAATAATGGAGTAGAACTTAGTCTCCTATGGAGTTATAAGTGCAAAACTATCTACCCAAGTAGCTGGCAGCAGGAGGTCGTAGCTGTAACAGGTTTGCTTGCAAGAGATCTGAACCACTCTGATTCATGAGAATCCTTCAGTCTGGTCTGGGCTGGAGCGTGAAGATGTGGATGTGGAGCAGATGAGCAGACAGGCGTCACACACCCTGGGTGTTTGGGAATGAGTGCAGGGAGCATGCAGAGAAGCCTTCATTGATTTCTCCCAGTGACTATTTGGGAAATCAGAGTTTGTGACTTACCCACTTTGGAATCCTTTCAAAGAGCCTTTTATTCACCATTTTCCCCTTTAAAAGGCTTTGTAAACTTCAAAACAAAAGACAGGTACAATCGTGGCTGTTAACACATTTTTATATCTTCTAAGTATTTTTCTTTTCTTTCTGAACATCTTGGCTGGATGGAGGGTCAGAAGTAACCTGACTGAAGATCGTCTCCATGGCCCTGCATCCTATCCCAAGTTCATGCCATTGCAGCCACAGAGAATCTCCTTGAAGGTGTTGCGCAGCTCCAGGCTCCGGAAGGCGTAGATGAGCGGGTCGATGATGGAGTTGCACATGATCAGGACCAGGTAGGTGTTGAAGTGGGCAGTGTAGCAGATGCAGTAGGGGTTAGTGGGGCAGGTGATGATGAGGACCAGGTGGAGGAAGAAGGGGGCCCAGCAGAAGATGAACACGCCCAGGAGGATGGTGATGGTGACTGCGCCCTTCATGCACGAGTGCTGTTGCGGGGCTGCCCCGTCGGCAGGTGGCAGTGCCGCTATGCGCTTGACATGCAGCCGTGCAAAGAGGAACATGTGCACGTAAAGGGTGCCCATGAGGAGCATCATGGTGAAGAACATGGTGATGAGGCACACGATGACCATCTTGCTCTCTGAGTAGATGATGAACACCACACCACAGATGCCGCAGCAGACCCAGATGGCCACGATCAAGGTGAGGGCCTTCCTCACAGTCATGATGCTGTGGTAGCGGAGCGCGTAGAAGATGGTGAGGTACCTGTCGACGGCGATGGCCAGGAGGTTGCAGATGGAGGCCACCAGGGAGATGCAGATCATGGAGTCAAAGATGTTGTCCATGTGCTGGATGAACTGGTCCTCCAAGGTCAGGTAGTCGCTGTGGACAATGGCAATCATGATGGTCTCCAGGGCATTGGACACACTTACCAGCATGTCGGCCACTGCCAGGCTGCAGAGGAAGAAGTACATTGGGGAGTGCAGGTTGCTGTTCCTGACCACGGCCAGGATAACCAGGATGTTTTCCAGCAGACTAATGATGCCCAGGATCAGGAAAACCTCGGGCTTGATAAAGACCTGCTCGCAGAACGTGCTGCTGCTCTGGTTGCTGAAGGAAGGGGCTTGGAGGTGCTCTGAGCTATTAGGCAGCACTGGCTGAACAGAGAGCAGGCAGCAGGAAGCATTCATTGCTGGCTGAAGGGCTAATCCGAGCTGGGGCTCCAGCAGGGTCCGTAGGAAGCTGCTGCTGCTCACAGGAAAGGAAAAATCTCCCTCCAGATACTTCTTTTGGATGCTCGTTCAATCTGGACTTAGATTTTGTTCTCCCCTAGAATAAAAGGATGGGGAGGGAAGAGAGGGAGATAGTGAGAGAGGGTTGGGGAAGAGACAGGGATGTACACACAGAGAAAAAGAGAGAGAGAGAGAAGGGGGAAGAGAGAGAGGGAGCAAGAGAGAGTAGCTAGTTAGTAGCTAGCAAGCAAGTTAGTCGCTTGGAGACGTACAGAGAACTTTGCTCTTCCAGGATCAGCAGTTTTTACCGTGTTTACATAGAAAAAAGACATCATAGGGTCTCTTACCAGCTGTCTTCTTTCTGTCTCCCTCTTACCCCTCTCTTTGTCCCTCCTCACTTACCCATCTGGGAACAGAAAACCTGCCACCGGTTGCTACAGTTACAGCTCTTTTCATGGGAAGACAGGGGATGTGTTACCTGTTGCTAGAAGTGAAGGGAGAACACTCAGATTTTTTATATTGGCCAAGGGCAAACAACTCCTACTTAATCTTCATTATAGCAGAATGACCACTGAGCATCGGGCACCTCTCTGACTGACAGCAGGTATCTGGCCTTGAGGGTTTTGCAGGGAGATTAAGAAGCAGACTGGTGCCCTCTGCAGGCCACACTGCTGTCTGCTTGCTGGCTTGGCCGAGCCAGCAAAAGTGTTTGTCATGGAAACTGCCACAGGCATCCACTCATCTGTTCATTTGTTTATTCATTCATTTGCTGTTGTTATTGCTGTTTAGCAAACATTTACTGAGTGCCTACTATGTGTCAGGTCTCTGCTGAGGTGCAGGAAATACAGTGGTGAGCAAGACAGCAGCCACCGTCTCAGGCTTCCCCAAACTCAGAGTTTGGGGTGGAAGAAGAAGAATCAATGAATGCTTGAATCAGGAAAATCCAGGAAACCAGGGATGCAAAGAGGAAGAGCCCTATCCTGGATGGTCAAGGAAAATTCCTGGAGGAAGGAGCACCTATGCTTTGCCGTAAAGGAGGAAGAGGCCATATCTAGTTTGGGGTGGGGGCTGGAGCTGGAGGAGGTAGAAGAGGACTTCAGGCAGAGGGAATCACACGCCTGCAGCCTGGAGGCAGAGAGCACCCTGGCCATAGGACTCATCACAGATTGTGGATGTGGGGATCCCACCTGACCCCCAGTGTCAGAATCACCCAGGTGTAAGACCTGGACAAGTGTGTTCGCAATTTTTGACAGGTGAGCTGGGGCATAGTCACAGTGAGCTCCACTGAAAAAGAATCTTGGGCTTTTTGAAGCACTGAAAGTAGTCTGCTCTGGTCAGAGCATGGAAATGGGAGACACAATCTGAGAAATGAGGCTGCAAAGGTTTCTTTAAAAGGTGAGAAGTGCCTGAATCCTGAAGGACAGCCTCAGCCAGATGTAGGAACAGTACCGTGGACAGCACCTTGATGGCGGTGGGGGCTGTGGAAGAAATGTAGGTAGCACAGGAATGAGATGGGGTGTGCATTTTAGAAATATTCCTGGTTGTAAGGTGGAGAATGACTTAGAAGGAATGAGCATGTAGGCCAGGGAGTCCAGGACAGAGGGTGCTGCAAAGACCCAGGGTGAGATGATGGTGGGCTGGAGCAAGGGTGTGGCCATGGGGACTTGGAGGGAGGTCAGAGAATATTCAGGAGGTTGGATAGTGCAGCTTCAAAACTGTTGGGTTATGGGATCACAGGAGAGGGAGCAGTCAGAAACGCTTCTACTTCTTTCTCACATAATGGGGAGGATGGAGGTGTTTTAAGCTGGAAAATGTGAAAGGTAGAAGTTAGCAGGTGGTCTACTAATATAGTGTTGTTCTTGGACTATGGTTTAACACTTGGTCCATGTTAGATTCGATTCTGTGTATAGTTCATATGAACTCAGAAAACACTGAGTTTTCTCAGCTGTGTTCTCTTTCTCTCTCTCTAGATGAATTAGTGATCCATCTGTCCATGTAACTGTGTATGTGTGTGTGTGTATGTGTGAGAAATATTAAAAAGATGCATATGGAAATAGAAGAAAATTTAGGATCCTTGGGGTAGAGAGATCTTAAGCAAGATGAGCAATCCAAAATTTAGTATGGAAAAACATCATGAACTAAGTTAAAAGAAAAACAGGATGAAAACATTTGCTATAGGTAAAGTTACTTTCACATTAATAAGAAAAAGATAAATTGCCTCTAAGAAAATTGGGCAAAGGATATAGATAACAATTTACTGAAGAGGAAATGCAAATGATTAATAAATATGAAAAGATGTGAAGTCTTCTAGGAAGTCGGGGAAATGCCAGTCAGAATGAGATTTTAATATCATTTTCCCAGCTAGATTGACAAGAAATAAAAAGATGCTAAATTTTTTGGGAAGACACTCTCATGCATTTCTAGTGTTTGTAAATAGTTTCACCATTTGGCAGTTTTTACTAAAATAAAAAATACATGTCAGTTTGAGTTTCAGTCTATGAACTGAGGGGCAGGAGAAATACTTCTGTTTATTTGCTTTTTTAAAAAAGCATTTTTGTCAAGAGCATGAGTTCAAGTTGCCCTGAATATACACTTCCACTTCTGTTTATTTTCAGCAGAACAACTTAATTTCTGATACCAATCCACCATTCTTCCAGGTTGGAAAAAAAACACATTCTTAATCCTTTTGAGAACTCCTCTCACCCTTGGGGTCACATCCAGGCTGTGGTTTCAAGGGCACTAGTCATACATGCAAAGCTAGACTATAAGGCAGGCACCATTCATTATCTACTACGTCTTTTCCTGCTCTGTGCTTGGCATGCACTGAGTTCAGACCACCTTTTCCTGCTTTCATTCTCTGGTCTTGTGCAGCCTTCAAAGAGAGCAGATGGGACCCAGCACTTAAAACCTGTGTCCTCGGAGATATAGTCATCACTACTGAGTGTTCATTTGGTCCTCTGCAAACACCACTCCCCACTTTCCTGGGGGAGTTGCACAGATACAGCATTACGTTTTAATTGAATCTTGTGTAAATGAATTGGCTTTATTAATAGCAATTGCAAGACATGCCAGTCTCCGTCAGTGTTTACCATATGTTGTTGGCATATGTGGGGGTGTTTGTTTTGAATCAGTTATAATAAATTGTAACAAGAAGATTCTTGTTACAAGAAAATCCACCCAGGTGATCTCTGCGCCTGAAAAGCTCTTCCTCAATTTTGTACCTGGTATACCCTCCTTATTCTTCAAGATCCAGCTTAAATGTCAACTATTTTTTTTACAGCTTTCCTTAAATTTCATACACCAGTTTACCACTCTCTCTCCTTGCTGACAAGCTGACAGGGTTCAGCACTCCTTCCCCACTCTCAAAAGCACAAGCAACGAGAGAGAGAGAAAAAAAGAGGTCTGGGTGTAGTGGCTCACACCTGTAATCCTAGCTCTTTCAGAGGCTGAGGTGGGCAGATCACCTGAGGTCAGGAGTTCAAGACCAGTCTGGCCAACATGACAAGACCCCGTCTCTACTAAAAATATGAAAATTGGCTGGCTCTGGTGGTGCACGCCTGTAATCCCAGCTACTCAGGAGGCTGAGATAGGAGAATTGCTTGAACCTGAGAAGCAGAGGTTGTGTTGAGCCAAGATTGTGCCACTGCACTCCAGCCTGGGCAACAGAGTGAGACTCCCGTCAAAAAAAAAAAAAAAAAAAAAAAATGGACTTCCTCAAAATTAACAGCTTTTGTATTTTAAAAGATGCCACGAAAATGAGAGGCCAACACATAGAATGGGAGAAAGTAATGCAAATGAGATATCTGATAAGGGATGTATATCTGGAATATATAGAGAACATTTACAATTTAATATCATAACAAAAAGAAAAATAGCCCGATTTAAAGATAAGCAGCAAAGGATTTGAATATACATTTTCCTGATGAAGATATCACATGTCTAACAAGCACATGAAAAAAGACTCAAGATCATTAGTCTTTATTGAAAATACTAAAAAACACTAAAACCATTGAATTGTTCACTTTAAATAGGTGAATTGTATGGTATATTAACACTATCTCAACAAAGCTGTTTTTAAAAATGACATGCAAAATTTTGCATAATTAGAGGTTCCATCCATGCCACTAAAATTAGGACAGTCTTCCAGCGGTCATGTTAGAACATAATAATTAGATTTTATTATAAATCTGAACTTTTCATGAGGGGCAGATAGATGCTGCTGATGCCCGTGTCCCTGAACCCAGCCTACGTCTGATTTCAGCACCAGTTTGCTGGACAGCTCCCTAAGTTCCCTGTGAGCTCAGATTCAACTTACACTACAAGAGTGCCACTTTAAGGGTGACAAACATGTTCTGCTCCAGAGTCTTCCCTGGTGTGTGTATGTGTGTGAGTGGCATTCCTCATCTGAGAAAGCTCAACCTGGAAATGAGGGAGAGTAAATGTCCCCAGGGGCAACCCGCAACTAATGAGGGCATTCTTCAGCTCCCCCATCCTGCAGGTGGACCATGGCAGATACTGTGCATGCTTCTCAGATATCCCCTGAACACCCCATCACCTACTGCAACATGCTTGATAATATGTGTGGGTTTTTTTTTTTTTTTGAGACGGAGTCTTGCTCTGTCACCGAGGCTGGAGTGCAGGGGTGGGATCTCGGCTCACTGCAACCTCCGCCTCCTGGGTTCAAGAGATTCTCGTGCCTCAGCCTCCTGAGTAGCTGGGATTACAGGTGTGCACCACCACGCCTGGCTTATTTTTGTATTTATTTATTTTTTTTTAGTAAAGACAAGGTTTCACCATGTTGGTCAGGTCTTGAACTCCTGACCTCATGATCCGCCCCCCTCAGCCTCCCAAAGTGCTGGTATTACAGGCATGAGCCACCGCACCTGGCCAGATAATGTGCCTTATAATTGACTTTTGTTCCTTACCCATCTAATTCACTCTGAGCCCTCATGCATGCTTTTGGGGATCACCTCTCAAATAAATTACACGTTCCCAAGTCCCTGTCACAAGTTCAGCTTTAGGTGAAGAGGATCCAAATTAAGGACTACAGAAGACCTACTGTGCACCAGGCTTCTCTGACATACTCTTTTCCTTGCTTGATTACTTACTCCTAGGAGTCAGGGCTGTGCTTTGTCCGTGCGATACCTATTCTTCTCTTCTTCCTCACCAATGGACTCCTGCTTTATTGGGGCAGCAGCATGTCCAGCTGCAACACTAATGTGTCAGCCTTCCTTGCAGACCAGGTGGCTACATAATCCAATACTCAACAGTGATGTAAGGGAAATCTTTTATGGAACTTCCAGGGAGGCAATTCAACTAACCCAGCCAGCAAACCTCAACTGGCACAGGAGCTTCTGCTCTTGATCGTTTCTCTTTTTTACCACCTGGAATAATGATGTAAAGGCTGGTGCTCTATCCCCCATTTTGTAAATCTGAAGACAAGGGCCAGATCCTATGAATGTGGAGCCCAAACCTGAAAGATTTCTGAATCTTGGATGACTGCAGAGAGGTAGTCCCAGCCCTGAATTGCTTACCTTTAGGTTTCAAGTTGTATGACAGAAAAATAATCCTTTAT